TCAAAACGGCCTCACCTTAAGCCCATTTACGGTGGGGCTGAGGTGGATATGGATCCATCTTTAAATACTGTAGCCATCCTGGACGAGAGGGGTAGCGGCTCCGCCTGTTACCAACTGCTATTTTATGGTATATGGTGGCAATTTTATCAAATCAAAAATTTCTCACCTTAGCCCTGACCATGATGAGGTTTAGGTGTGGGCTCACCCCCCACCCCTACTAACTTTAAATCTGTATCCGATCCTTGAGATGGGATAGTGTAGCGGCTTTGCAATTTACCAGCTATAATTTAAAGCTCCCCCTCCCACAATTTTAGAAATGTATTTATCCCCTGGCTGTGCTTAAGGTTCTGCACACACTATCAGATTAATTTCTTTGACTAAAAAATTTTGTAAGCCCCATATAAGTCATGATGTGATGTCATCATGACCATTAAAACATGTCACGTGTTTTTGTCAAATAAAATGTGATAGTCCGGACAGGGCTTAAGTGTTGTTCCATGTTCAAATATAAAAGAGTGGACAAATGAAATTCTTACCAGTTTGGGTGGATATATCATATATCTTTAGTAATATGGCCAGGTAAGAAGAACAGATGATCAGCAACGGAATGAAAAACTGGATACAAAGCACAAATATGGAATATACTCTGATGTACTCGAAAGGTATAGCGTCAGTGCATTGTTCAAAGTCAGGCGCAAATTTCACAGTTCGAAATATAAACACCTGCAAGAGAAAACGAAAGATTTTAAATTGATTGTTTACATTATTGTTATTATTATTATTATTATTATTATTATTATTATTATTATTATTATTATTATTATTATTATTATTATTATTATTATTATTACTACTACTACTACTACTATTACTACCATTAATATTACTATTATTATTATTATTACCATTAGGGGCCTATCCTTATTATAATCATTATTACAATGATAATCATAATCATTATCATTATCATATCATTATTAGGCATATTATTTTTATTTTCAATGTTATTAACAATATATTATATAAATATTGTTATTATTGATTTGTTACCACATCGAAACATTAAACTGAATGAATGAATAAGCAAACGAAATTATAGATACTAAAGTAGAAAATGGCTAACAAAAGTGGGAATTATATAGCGCATAATACAGAGGTTTTCATGCTCTTGATTATATATAATATTATTACATTATTAAAATTAATTTTACATTATTATTAGTGTTGTTGTTTCTTGTAATATATAACATACATAAAATATGAGGCTGAGGCAGAAGCGGATGTACGATGGGCACGTGTGGTGATTTGATGCGATGTGATATAATAATATTGAAGAGTTCACCGGTGATGAGATAAGATAATGATATAATAATACCTGTGGAATGCTCAAGATTATGCTGGCAGCGTATGATATAACAATCATAGTTTTAACACGATTCGAACCACAGATCCCCTGGTTGTGTGAAATAGGAAAAATTATTGCAAAACAGCGGTCTAAACTGATGGCTACGGTGATGAAAGATGATAGGTAAAGACCGAACGTCCACGAGAAACGGAACAACCGACAGTATACGTCACCACCCACCCATTTAATCGTGCCGATCCACACTATAAAGGGTATGATCAATATATATGTGATGAGGAGATCTGCGATTGCCAGGTGTTTGATAAGCGTCATCATGGCAGATTTTCGATGACGATATCGAGTGGTAACGACTATGGTGGCAATATTACCGATGTTTGAAACAATAAACAAAACCGACAACACAGCCATTCTTGCGTATTGAGACGTTGTATTGAATGGATAGCCCGTTGCATTAGGGTTATAGTCCATTGCACTAGTGTTATAGTCGTCAAATGTTGTGTTGAAGAAGGATGAAGGCATCTTTTCGTTGTTTACCATTCTCAATCAATAGTTGCAAATACTATATATTTAAAATAGCAATAAGTAATACTTGTTCATACAATATTTACTGTTTGTGGACAGGTTTTCTTTACAAACTTTACAATTGAATTCGGTGTCAGATTTAGATTCCTGCAAAAAAAAAAATATAATATGAGTTTAATAATAATAATAATAATAAT